TTAAAGTCTCTGGACGCGCCATCGGATCAACACCGGCTTGTTCAAAACCATCTTCAACCAACATGCCTTTTAAGCTATTACGCAAAGTTTTACGGCGCTGGGTAAAGACGTGCGAGACCAAACGTGCCAAGGCTTTTTCATTTTTTGCCACAATCGGCTTAACCGCATACGGCTCTAAACGGAACACCGCAGAAGTCACTTTGGGGGGTGGGTTAAATGAACCCGGTGGCACTTCAAACAAGAACGTAGGTTTACAGAAATACTGAATCATCACCGACAAACGACCATATTCTTTGCTATTTGGAGAAGCCGTAATACGGTCAACCACTTCTTTTTGTAGCATAAAGTGCATGTCTTTAACTTTGTCACCAAACTCCAAGAGGTGAAACAAAAGTGGCGTCGAGATGTTATACGGCAAATTACCCACAACACGTAAAGGACGACCATCTTCAAATAAATTAGTGAAGTCGTACTTCAGTGCATCCGTTTCAATAATGGTTAAACGTTCAGGATGTGGCACACGCCCCGGTAAACCTGCCGCCAAATCACGGTCTAATTCGACCACCGTGAGTGCGTCACATTCGCCAATCAATGGAGAAGTTAAGGCTGCCAAACCCGGGCCAATTTCCACAATGTTATCACCTGAACGGGGTGCAACTGAACGTACAATCTTGGCAATCACACGTTGGTCATGTAAGAAGTTTTGCCCAAAACGCTTCCGCGTATGGTGCCCTTCATCTTTAGGGTTTAAGGCATTAATTTGATACATAAAATTTTCCAACGTGAGTTAATCACTGAACATTAGTGACGAGCTAATTCTAACGCTAAATCAACAGCGACCTGTAAGCTTGAGCTTTTCGCAAGACCTGTGCCTGCGAGGGAGAGAGCTGTGCCATGATCGACTGAGGTACGAATAAACGGCAAGCCCAAAGTAATATTAATGGCTTCACCAAACCCTTGCGATTTTAACACAGGTAAGCCCTGATCGTGATACATCGCCAAAACAGCATCGGCATCTTTTAAGTTTTCTGGGGTAAATAAGGTATCGGCAGGTAGGCTCAGGCTCATATTTATGCCTTGAGCACGGTAGCTTTCCAGCACAGGGTTAATCACCTCAATTTCTTCCATCCCCAAATAACCATCCTCCCCTGCATGTGGGTTTAAGCCACACACTAAAATATGTGGATGCTCTTTTTTAAATTTGCTT